CTACCTTCACCTGTATAATCTGCACCTGTATAGACTGCACAAATAGAATCTGTTGTTGACCTGGAATTGGCGCCTTCCTCTATAGGCATAGGACCTTCAAGACCTTACATTCTGCCAACATAGTCTTTGAAGACTTGTGACCCTCTCCACACCACAGTGGAGGACTTGAGTGGACTGTTGGCCATTTTGCCACACAGAATAGGGTGGAGTTCCTGCCTGATCTGATTGTGGTCTGAAAAAGCTTTTATTGACCTAAAAGGCCCCCCCCAAAAAAAGTGAATGTTTGCTGAATGCTCCTTACCTACACTTTAGGGAGGCTATGTTAGTTTCCAGTAAATGTACATGATAGTACCACCAATTGGTAAGTGGATAAGACACTTCCAAATGAACAAGGCACAAATAGCCAAATTTAGATTGTGACCATTCAGGCCATCAGCATTAAGTGTTTTTGTTTTATCTGACTAAAAACTGTCTAGTGGACCTTGTGTCCATCTAAAACAAGTTGGTTTTTCATAGAGTGTCTCTTCTGCTTTTCTACTTGGTTGATAGGCTCTTTATGGAAAACATTGCTCTAACCAGCTGGTACCAGCAATTTCAGTTTAGAAAGGTGACTGTATCTGGCTTCCCTCATGGTAGGTGAGTGTGGTGGTTAGACAGCCAAGACGTAGGAGTCAGGTTCTATGTCAGGCTACCAGAATCCTCCAGGGGGACCTGGCTATAGGTACTTAACTTCTGTTCCTGATTGTTTTGTCCATCATCTTGAGATGGTAATACATGCTAATGAAATGGGAGGTTCCAGAGCATTGGAAACATTACCATGATTAAGCCCAGTTCTCCTGGGCAAAGAAATTGAAAAGATCTGGCTCTACATCTTAAGGCACGTAAGTGTCACAAAAGAGCAGCTCTGCAAACCACACCATGCACCTCGTCCTCCTCCCTCAACAGCCATGAGGGAGTCCAGAAGTAGCACTACAATGCCCAAGCTATGTACTCTTTGCTGCACAGAACAAGGAAAAGTAATGTGTTGGGAAACTACACACCATTTGGGCTTAGCCTTCCTTTTTTTTTTTTTTTTTTGTAAGGCAATTGGGGTTCAGTGACTTGCCCAAGGTCACACAGCTGATAAGTGTGAAGTGTTTGGTCTGAGGCCACATTTGAACTCAGGTCCTCCTGACTTCAGGGCCAGTGCTCTATCCACTGCGCCACCTAGCTGCCCCTGGGCTTAGCCTTCCAAACAACAGGCTGGCATTGAGTCACTCACCAGTCAGAGCTAACACTTGGACAAGAATCAGACATTCATAATGGTTGAAAACATGCTTGTTTATACTTCCATGCAGAGCAACAAAAGAGAGACAAAGAACTTTAGTATTTACAGCAGTATTTATGCCAGCTTTATAAGAAATGTAGGACTTGAAAACATGGCAGGGAAAAGGATGTGATAGGGAAGACCTTTCATTTGGAGTTAGGACAATAAAGGAATGAAAGGAAGAGATGCTCTATATGACACTTAGGATTTTCACAAGTCAGACAACCCTGAATCATCTCACCTTGTTTTCTCCCTTCATTTGTTATCTGAATCAAATGGAACCCCATTAGTACTTCGCAAAAAAACAAGCAAACAAACAAAACCTGGAATTGAATGCTTAGAGCTACTGAAAAGGAGAATCAGGTTTTCTGTTTCTCCCATGCCAATTTTAGGGAAAGAACAAGGAAAAAAACACTTATCTTTGTTTTTTGACACATTAACATTGGTTCTTCCATAAGATCTGAAGGTCAAGTTTCTTTAAAAAAAAACAAACTTTTAAATATCTTTTGTTTTCACATTGCCTTCGTTTCTAAGCAGATTCTTCCTCCTTCTATACCATGATCTCCTGTAACAAAGAATTTTTTTAAAAAGAAGAAAAAATAACAGTTCAGCAAAACTAATAAACACATCAACAAAATCTGAAAGTATAAACTGTGGTCCACACCCATGTTCCCTAGCTTCTTCAAAGAAGGGAAGGGGTATTTTTCCTTTCTCTTTTTGTTTGTTATAGTCATCGTGAATATTGTTTTCCTGGTTTTCCTTACTTCACATTGTAGCGATTCATGTCTTTTTGTGCTTCTGTGTTCTTTATATTAATTATTTCTTGCCACACAGTAATATTCCATTACATTCATGTATTACAGTTTGCTTTGCCTTTCCTCAATCAATGGACATCTACTTTATGCACAGTTCTTGGATACTATAAAAATACCACTATGAATATTTTGGTGTATAGAGGTCCTTTGTTTCTCTTTGACCTCCTTGGGCTGTATACCTTACAATGGGTTCTCTGGATTTTAGTCACCGTCTTAGTCTTATTTCATATTGCCAGAATGATTTCCCAGCTTCACCAGTAGTGCATTAGAATGCCATCTTCATAAAGTCCCTCCAATATGTACTATACCCATCTTTTCTTATCATTGCCAATTTGCTAGGTATCTGGTAAAACCTCCTGAGTTGTGTTGATTTGTATTTTTCTTGTTAGTAATTTGGAGCTATCTTTTATATAGTTCTAAATATTTTGCAATATTTCCTTTGAGAAATATTTGTTTATATTCTTTGACCACTTATCCATTGGGGAATAACTCTGGGCCATATATATTTGTGTTTATTCCCTATATAGCCTGGATAACATGCCCTTATCAGAGATATTTGATACAAAAATTATTTTTTTTCAATTGATGGCTTCCCTTGAAAATTAAATTTTAGCATTTAGATCAGGATTCAGAATTTTCCTCCTACTCTGAAGCCCCAAACCTAAGACTTAACTAGCTCCCTACTTTTATACTCAGAGTATTCTATGGGGACTTCTCTAACTCCAAAATCCATTGTATTCTCTTAGGAGTATAGATCAGTTTGGGGACACATGAGGCTACGGAGTATTATGTAAGGTCTTCCTACCTTTATCACTTTTGCTTGAAATGAGAAAAACGTCACTGGCAGTTTTGTGACAGTGTACAGTAAAATACTGAACTGTCCAAACAGATCTGTGTTCCAGTTAGTTTGATTATTCCCACCAAAGATGTGGGCAGCTAGGTGGCACAGTGGAAAGAGCCAGGCCTGAAATCAGAAAGACCTGAGTTCAAATCCAGCCTCAGACACTTCCTAGCCGTGTGACCCTGGGCAAGTCACTTAACCCTGTTTGCTCTAGTTCCTTAACTGTAAAATGAGCTGGAGTAGGAAATAGCAAACCACTCCAGTGTCTTTGCTAAGAAAACACCAAATGGGGTCTTGAAAAAACAATTGAACACACCTGCCAAAGATGTAGATTGCAACCTATACAGAAAAGCCTGTCCATCCTGTGGGACTCTTGTTCATGTCTTCTTATGAATTCACTATTGTGGGTCCAACCAACATACTAGATGCCCTCCTTGCTTTTTCCTGACATCTTGGAGGAGGGAGAAGGGAATAAGCATTTATTAAACACTGTGATTATATATTCCTGTTTTGTTTTAAGATGGCAGAGTAAGCTCTTTTTTCTAAGACATTTGTTTCTCTAACCAAAACCCACATAACAAATTTCATTGAATTGAACCAGTTCAAAAAATGTTTAACAAGTATCTATTATGCACAGAGCACTTGCCTAGCCCTACATATACATATATATATATATATAATATATATATATATATATATTTTGGGGGGGAGTGAGGCAAGCAGGGTTAAGTGACTTGCCCAGGGTCACACAGCTAGTTAAGTGTCAAGTGTCTGAGGCCAGATTTGAACTCAGGTCCTCTGACTCCAAGGCTGGAGTTCTATGCACTGTGCCACCTAGCTGCCCCACCATATTTTTTAATGCACAAAATATATCCATCTGAAAATGGATTGGTTGCCATTTTGTTTAAAGGTAGAAATTTAACTGGACACATGTTTACCTTTTAGTACCAAAGTTCTATAAAATCAGTCCACTTTTAAGAGTGCTGTGACATAAAATAGCAACTACAAAATACTAAGTGGCCAGTTGAGACAGAGACTGTACTTCAAAACCACGTTTAGCCTATGTCATCTAATTGTCTAGTAGTGGCATTATTTCTTGGTTCTTTGACTTCCCTGGTGTGATCCCTGTACTTCTTCCTTTATTTGATGTCTGGACATTACTCCAGCTTGATTCTGTTAGCCTATCTATGATAAAGGAGCCAAATAAGAACAGAAGTCATACTGCAAATTTTCAGAAATAATTCTTCAAACCCTGCATACGTCAGTCCCAGGCAAGTCCTAAGTCTCAGGTAACCTGATTGGGAATGCAGTGTCCCTGGGTCCCAATAGTGTCAGATTATCCAATGCTATTTTCAAATATCCATTTTGTAGGATTAGTATTTAATGTTGAAAAGACATCTGTTCTGCTGGAATCTGACTTCCTACAACTGTTTGTTTGTTTTTTTAAGCATTTGTCCTCTCTCTCATTGACTCTGGCTAAAAAAAAAAAATGCTAAATTTTTGACTCAAAGCAAATAAAGCTTAGCACTCATCTGACTTTCCTATACCATGTCATTGTTATTGGGGAGGCTAATAAAGTCTTGCTGGTAGGTTTTCATTTCAGTTTTTGGCGCCTCTCAGAATAGAAGGGCGGCCCCGAGCTGGTTTGTCAGCACTCAAAGAACCCTGAAATATCATGTAGTTAAGTTTCAAGCACTAAGTTTGTTTTTCTTCCAGGAAGATTCATATGCTCACAAAAAGTAGGGCCAAGCTCCACCCCAATCAAAATGTATTTGCCAGCCCCAGAGAAGCAAGGGATAAAGAAGCTCATGCCCCCTCATCCATCATTTTTCCACCAAGAACCTTACAGCTGGATAATAAAAATCTGGATTTGATATTTTTTTCATTTGCAAGTTAACTGAATAGCATGTCCACATGGTATAAGGAATTATAAGCAGGAAGTGCCCATGGTATAAAATCAGAATGTGAGATGTTGAAATTTCGTTATCCATTTCAGTAGCATTTCCTACCTAATCAAAATATGAATATTCCTTTTTAGGTTTTGTTCTTAACTGGCTTTGGCTATGTGTATGTGGACATCACTCATGAGTGTGGCACAGTAATCATAACAGTGGCTCCAGAAGGAAAAGCAGAACCAATCTTAACCAATGCTACCAGGTATGTTTAGTTTTTCAATAGTTGAATAACCTGCCTTCCAATTATAATGCAACTTATACATAGTATTTTGTTTTTCTTTGTTGCCCCTATATGTATTTACGTATCATGTTATAACAGATAAAGGGCCAGCCTTAGCATCAGGAAGACCTAGTTTAAGTCTTGTCTCTGAATTACATATTATCCATGTTTATTGACCAACTCTTCAGGATTGCAAGCTGCAGAAGAGCTTCTCATTGCGTTGTGGAGAGAGTTTCTACACAGAAGTTCTTTATATTTATGATGTCACAGGTCCAGACCTCTCTTTTGACCTTCACATGGCCCCCCACCCCAAAATGACTTTTAGTTAAAGGTTATATAATTCGTAATAAGATATGATACCATTGTCAGTTGAATAACATTTATAATTGATTACTGTTCAATGAAAATGACTTTGTGTACCAAGTAAAATTCATCTGTGATGAGTTTCACAGGCTACTTAACAAATTAGAGCTTACATATTTGCAGTATATACTTTGGCACAAGGTAAAAATTAACCTTTATTTAACCATATGTCTATAAGTTAGATTCCATAAATATGAGAGACACAACAAAAATAGAAGTATTTACCAGCAAATTTTCCAGGATGTGTTCCCTTGGCTATTTTTTTTGCTACCAGAAGAACATGTTTTAAAAATACAAAATGTGAATATTGAATAGTTGTATCTTAACATATGCTTACCTTTTCTTTAAGCATTTTGCTTTTCTCCTATAATATCTCCTAGTTCAGAATTTGTGTTCGTTCAGACTGAGGTGAATTTAACCTTCACACTGATTGTAAGAAAAGGAAGTAGAAAGAACATTAGTATAAACACTTTTGGAAGACAAATGCTAAATTACCTAAAAGAGCAACATTTTAAATACCCATAAGCATTTTATAATTATCTCTTTATGTGGAAGCTTTTACAAGCTCATTTTGAATATTTTGAATCTTTTTTTAAAGGAAGTTTCCTAACAGTAGCTTCAAGACAAAAATATGTTAGCCCAGCTTAAATATGTATATGTGTCTAAGATCATATATACATCTTTGATCACAGTATCATAGATTTGGAAAGAATCTTAAAGGTAAAGTAATACTGTGATTGCAATTACATAGTGCTTTATCATCTAATCCATCCTTTCATTTCATAGAATTGGGGCCTTGAAAAGGGAAATATAATAAAACTATGTTTTTATTGAAATTTAAAATTTTCAGTAATTGAGACTGACACATCCTTAATCCAAATTAGAGGAATTTTGACTCTACTATAAACTTGGTTCCATTATTCCCCCTCTATAGAAGTGTCCATTTTTAATACTTGAAACTGTTGTCTTCGAGAGATTGTGCAAAAATGCATGTGTTTCTAGGCCTGCATTAGTACTATAATTGTGCAAATCCCCTAGAAAGCTGACCAGTTTGTCACTGAACAGATCACCAGCTAGCTGAGCAAGGCCAGTCATGGTTAACCACACAAAAAATATTGCTTCGTTCCAAAAATGGCCTAGGTTACTAAAGAGAAGGCTTGCGTTTTCAAAACAGTAAAGTAGTAAACAGCAACAGCTCCTGCAGCCTATGATGAAATAGAATAAAGGAGATACTTGGAAGGAGTGTTGAGGTTTTTGTGTTGTCACATTCCTTATGTCCTCAGCTTTGTGCTCTATGATGAGCATGATAGTGAATAAGTGTGCATACCCTAGAAGGACCTTAGAGTAAAAACATGGTATTGATAAAGGATTGCATAGAAAGTCACAGCAGGAACTTGTAATAGTCCCATTGGGAGTATTTCCCATTGCTGTTGGGGTGTGACTGGATCAATCTAGACACAATGTACTGACATTTGTGCTCTTCTTTGTTTCATGTGCAGTCTTGTGTCACATCAGGAGATGTTTGGTGAAGAATTGTCATAAAATGAGATAACCATCTTTTTTCTTTTTTTCTTTTTTTCCCTCATCTAGGACTCTGGGGAAGAGTGTTACACTAAAAGTGTTCATCACTCAGTCAAGCCTTGCAGTATTTGATGATCTCACCCACCACAAAACATCATCTGAGCTTCTGCGGCTCACGCTGGATAACATTTTTCTGAACATGGAACCAGTGGCCAGCTACCTCAGAGCCCTACCTCTTGAAGGGGCTGCTGCAGGACTACCACAGCTTTACAACCTGGAGGTCTTCTGTGGAGACTTTCAGCTGGACAATCAACTCTATAACAAATCCAACTTCCACTTTCCTGTCCTGATCTGCCAGGGAGAAAAAGTGGAAACTATCCAGTGGTCCAGGATGCATAATCTTCTCATATCTAGCAAAGATTTGGAAGAATATAAAGAAAATTGCTTTATCAAACTTTGTATCACCTTGTCTGAGAAACAAAACTTCCTGTTTGATATTAATGAGTTTAGTTTTGAACTGAAACCGGCCAGGTTATATGTAGAAGACACATTTGTTTACTACATCAAAACTCTCTTTGATACTTATCTTCCCAACAGCAAACTGGCTAGTCATTCTAAGAGACACTCGGGCATCACACAGCTGTTACCTGAGCAAATCAGACAGCATGCCAAAGCTTTAGTCAATCCAGTGAAATTAAGGAGACTGGCCATCCAACCAGTGAACCTCTCAGTCAGTATCCATGCATCCCTGAAGCTGTACATTGCTTCGGATCACACGCCTCTCTCCTTCTCAGTATTCGAACGAGGACCCATCTTCACAACTGCCAGGCAGCTCGTCCACACTCTGGTGATGCACTATGCTGCTGGGGCTCTCTTCAGAGCAGGTGAGTACAGTAAGCTGGGGGGTCTTCACACAAACCCTCCGTACTCCTGGTCCCAGACTCAGTGAGGGGGATGCCACAAGAGACCTTTCCCAATCCCCTTAGTTGTTATGAAGTGTTCCTTCCTTCCTCAAGTGATCATATTCAGAGATATCTCTATTTACATGTCAACATGCTGTATCCTCCCTTCTTTCCCCAGTAGAATACAAGCTTCTTGAAAGCAGGGACAGTTTGGTACTTTGTCTTTGTTTTCCCGGAACCCAGTGCCCGATATATTTGTTGTTGTTGTTCAGTTGTGTTGAACTCTTGGTGACCCTGTGTACCATAGTATGCCAGAACAAATCTCCTTAATAAAAGGATTTGTTCTGTAAAACTTGGACTTAGTCAAAAGGCCACACCCAAGGACCTAGAGGCCACAGGTTCCCCACCCCTGGATTAGCTCCCACCACGTGCCAGAACCACTCCCTCAGTAAAAGGTGGAAACTTTGGCAAGACCTTCATTAATTCAGGTCACTAAGGATAAAGTGAAGATAGTAACTTTTACTACTCCAGCCCACTAACTAATATTATAGTGCAGCTCAGAAAATTAACACACGCCCAGTACTCCTCGGACTAAAAGAAACCATATTCTAGGTCACCCATTTTATAGGATCATGGATTTTGAGCTAGTTCTTTGAGATCATCCAGACCAATCCCTTCATTTTACAAATGGAGAAGTTGAGCCCGAGAGAGGTGATATAGTTAGCCCACATTCTCAGAGGTAGTCTATACCCCTTCCGTGATATAAAGAAAATTTTCTAAGAAACTAAAATTTTAGCTTACAACAATGAGGTCAGTGAAATGACTGATCTCAATGGTCATTGTCACTCTGAATGGGAGGATCACTGGATCATTAAGAAACTTTGAGGGACAAAAGAGTAAACTTGCCCCAAAAGCACAGAACTCATAGTTGCCCAAATGCTTTTACTCTCTTGGCCTCTCCACAAAGCTGATCTATAACAAAATAAGTGGTCATTGCTCCTGGCCAGCAAGCCTAGGTAATAATGGTTCTCTATAAAGCTGATCAATAGGAACTCTTTCAGCAGACCTCCTGTTGATTGAAAAATCATTAATACATTTCTGAAGTAATTAATGTGAAGCTTAGGGACAGTTTTCTGACTTAGAAAATCTGGCTGAAAAATGATCTTATAAAGTTGTATATTATTTGGATACAAGTACCAGATGTCGGCCTGGAAATGTCATGAGCTAAAAGATAAGTGACAGTTTCCTTCAGACACTGGGTCTGTCTGCAGGCCCGTGTGTCCATGGGTTCCCAGAGTACATTGTCTCATGGCACTCAGAATCACAGCTCACAGTCCTAACAAGACCTCTCTGGGAAAGCAGTTGCAGCTTGATAATCTGCTTCCACGTGTTCTTGTGATTGTTAAACAGGGACATCATGCAAAGTTGGCTAATGGACCGTTTTTGCTAGAAAAACAAAGGAATTATTCCCCCATCAGGGAGAATTAATAGATAAAAAAGCTTAATAGCAAATGACATGGAGAAGAGAGGAGTCAGCCAGACCTAGATTCAAGGCCTACCTCACCTATACATTAGCTCTGTGACCATCCCAAGTCACTTAACCTCTTGGCACCCTAATTATCTAAGATGACTGGTTGAACTACATCTGGTGGAGCAACTTTCCACACTGGAAGTTCCTAATAACTACACAGATTTAGACCAAAAAATTGTTGTTTATATACACACATGTGTGTGGGCCTATACACACACACACACACACACACACAGATCTCATTTTATATTTATATAAGTGGACCATTCCACAGACCTCTGTGTAATGCAGTTTTGCTAGAGACTTGGGGAGGGGAGGGAGAGAGGTAGATAAGAAGGGGATCACACACTCATGGAGGGAGGGGACCGGCACACAATTCAAGGCCACATGGGGGCCGAGGACAGAGAATCTAGAGCAGTAGGAAGAACATACCAGAGCCAGCTATGTGGGGGCCTGGCCAGAACCACGCCAGCCACAGATATGGACAGGAAAGGATGGGCAGCATGGGGACTGCGGACATACACACGGTACCTGAGTCTTGATGGACAGAAGACATACACTTGGGGGCTTGACATGACAGTGAGAGGGCAGAGTGGAGCAAAGGTCTCCTGTCTTGCTCAGGAGGTCTCAAGACAAGCCCCCAATATGGTGGTGGCAGAGGTGGCAGTCTCTGCATGCATCCCTTTTTCTGCTTTCATTTGGAGGTTTGGGTTTTGGTTTTTTTTTTTTTTTTTAGCACAGTACTGTACAGTAAAGTTAACATAGGTGGTTTTTTTCTGGAATGCTGATTTCTTTTAGAATTCTTTACATAAAGTCAAAATTGCATAATACACATTTAAAGCAAGAACTGTCTATACACATTTTTAAGTCTGTGTACATGTGTATATACTAAAGAGAGACAGGTAGATATTGTAGTTTGAATGTGTTCTCACAGTTAGGAAATATAGAAACCAGGAAGAGGTTGCCATATGTTTAAGATGACCTTTTTCCCATTTAGTTAATTCTGTCTAGCACTTTGAATTTGAAAATGACAAGATCATGGGTAGATTCCCTGTCAGCCTGATGCTTTGATGATTTGTACAAAAACAGTAAGTAAAGCATTTTATTCTGTAAAATTAGAGATTTATAAATAAGCAACTTGACATACTAAATTTAAAAGACTGAGGAGTCCTTAAGCAATTAGAGAAACTCTTGTTATTGAAATACAAGGGGTAAAAAGGTAGATGAATTAACTCATACTAATGTTCTCTGAAAGTGTATTGTTCATATCAGATCAGGTAAATGCCAAGTGGAAGTGCATGTCTCTGTGGGGTTCTGGCCTAAATATGGCCTTTAGAAACACTAACTTGCAGTATTCAGTAATATTACGCCATGGGCCACATGCTGAAAGAGAGTTTCCTTTGGGTGTTTGGTCATGTGTGTTGTTTTTCTTAATTTGTTTTTAATGCTGATATTCTGTTGAGATGCCTTTTAATTCACTCCAAATACACTGAACTGTGGCTGCCCCAACCTCATCCCTCACAGAGACTAGCAACTCTAATGTTGCTAGGGGGCCAGTTTGTTTGGTTACATTGGACTTGTTATCAGGGAAAACCTGTGTACAATTTGGAAGAGTTCCCAGTGAATAAAGAAGTGGGAAATAGACAAAATAAATTCAGTTTATGGACCATCATGTAGAAATGGCTAACAATAAAGGGCAGCCCCCAAAATAGGTAAAGGGCTAGGAAGTTAGTTTATAGATGGATTTGAACAGATGGCTCCTATCTACACAGCTAAGGGAAGAGGAGTTAGGGCACAGATTGTAGCTGAATCAACGGTGATAGTGATAAATATTGTAGTCAGTTCCTGAGAGAGACAGGCAGAGCCAAAGTGGTGGAGAAACAGGAAGAAGTTAGCAAGTTCCCTATCCCACAGTTCTTCCAAACTGATGTAGAAAATGCACCAGACCAAATCCTGATGGAGAAGTCTAAGAAAAAAACCACAAGTCATTTTTCCAACCTAGGTCAGCATAGGGAGACAGACAGAGAGGTCTGTGGACAATGGGGATCAGGTCTGGAGTAGATCAAGTCAGAGCATTCCAATGCAGAGAGAGCCTATGCACCCATGCAAGAAGAGATTCCAAAGCCAGCACAGAGAGATACCATGTAGGGTGCAGGAACGAGTGCCTACTGGCAGTTCTGTTGCTCACTACCCAATTCTGGATCACAAATTCAGGGAGGACTGAGAAGGGGAGCTGTGCCTAGGGAAGAGAAGGGAATAAGCATTTATATAGTGCCAGCTCCGTGCCAGGCACTATGCTAAGTGATTTATAAATACTGTTTCATTTGAGCCTCACAACAACCCTGCAAGTTGGGTACTGTTATCCCAATTTTATAGTTGAGGAAGCTGAGGGAAACTGGGGCTAAGTGACTTGCCAGGGTCACTCAGATAATAAGTATCTGAGACTAGATTTGAACTCAAGTGTTTCTGACTCCAGGCCCAGAACTCTATCCAGTGCACCACCAGCTGCCCAGGGGTGGCATTCCAGGGTAAGGAGTAGTCACAGACCCTAAGCTATGTACTGAGAGCAGCAAGTTCAGAAGCAAGTAGCAGCTATATGGCTTATACCCCAGGAGTGGATCAGGGTCTCAGTTCCAACTTCTAGCCCAGTCCAAAGCTTACAGAAAAATAACCAGGGCAGGAATCCCTGACCCAAGGGAAGCCCACGATTTTGTCACTGAACCACCAGAGCTTCTAACCCAGCTGAGGCCCGCAGCAGTCTACTGTCACTCAGATCCAAACAAAGCTCAAACCAGGGGGGGATCAATCAGATTCTGGTCAGACTACTTTGGGAGCACTGATCGAATACAGGTCCCCAGCCTGAATGTCCCTGAGATCCTAGAATAACATAATACTCAGAACTCCAAGAAAACAGCACCAGGAGCAATTCAGACCTTCCCCCAGAAGTTCATAGAACTAAGCCCTGACATCAAGTCTGAAGTGCAGGCATAAGATGGAAGAATGAACAAATAAAAAGGGAATTCCACCATTAAAAATTATTATATAATTTGTACATTCAAGATATTATCCCAGAAAAAGAGGATGACTCCAAAATATCTATAAGCAAAGCCTCAGGGCAAAACACAGTTTGGGCATAAATCCAACCAGAATTACTAAAAGAGATGAAGCAAGAATTTTAAAATGTTTTTTACTAATGAAAAGAAAGTGCCAGAGGAAAAAAAATTAAGAGAAAAATGAAAACCAGGGAAGAAAGAACTGGATAAGGAATTAACAACTTGGCACTGGAGTTACAACTTGCCCAAGCAACAAACTCCCTGAAAATTAGGATGGATTAAATAGAAACAAATGACTTCATGAAACAATAAGAAATATGAAAACAAAATCAAAAGACTGGAGGAAAAAAGAAGAAAATATAAGGTGTGTCATAGCAAAAAACAACTGACTAGGTATT